AGCAGGAATTCTGGGCAGGTGGCAGCAGGAAGATTTGCCCTAACAAGCGTTCAGCGAAGAAAACCTTCATTGAACGAAATCACTAAAATGTGAGCAACTAACCCAAAATGAGAAAGAAACTTTCATCAGAAGCCTAGTTATTTAACTTGCTAGCAATCTGAGTCATCACAGGAGTGCAGTCCAGTACTGGGGGTAAGCTGCATGTCCCTCTCAGAGCTGAGTTCAAGGAGGCTGTGAGACCAGAACCACTCCTCAGCTGGTGGCTCAGTTGAAGGCTCTGCAGTGCAGCTCTGCAAGGCCTCCAGCCCCTTCACCTGCTCTGACACTTTGCCATGGTAGCATTTGGAGAGTGTGAAGGTTTCCTGTGACCTAGGGATTAATATCACCCCAAAGAACAGAGTACTGTAATACAAGGATGTGCATTGAAGGCAAGATTCAGCTTACGCTGAGCTTTTGGACACAGCAAGTGCAAAGCACAGGCTGTTGGAGGCAACCTGTGGAATATCCTTCCTGAAAGACCACCTGAATCTTGAAGCCAAAGGAAGAGCTCTTCTTTCACCTACTCCCTTCCCCTGTGCCAGGTTCCCGTTATGGGGAAAGGGTGGAGGAAAAGCAGTTCTCAGGCTGAGGCAGCCAGGGCAGGAAGATACCCAGCTGCACAGCCCAGGCACGCTGGGTCCTGTGGCTGGAGCCCACAGAGCATGGCTGTGATACACAGGGAGTGTGGGCCAGGCAGAAATCCAGAGACTCTTCATCGGGTGAAGAACAGCTAGAAGAGGGACACAGAAGAGAAAAAGGGCATCTCCAGTGATTCCTGTGGATCTCATTTTCCATGGGAACTCATTTGGTTACCCATACTTTGTCTCGTGCCATAGCTGAGCTGAGAAGGATGGGAGCAGTGAGGGGCAGATCTTTTTTGGAACAAGATCTCTGTTTTACTGCATCATCCACCTGCTATTGGCACACATTAACTCGAGATCCAATCTCTGATTAGCAAGGGTAGAGGGCACCATAGCAAGGTGATTTCTGTCAGCTGGGAGGGGGATACTCTGGGCTCACCTCAGGCTGCCCTGGCTGTGGAGACAGAAGATTTCAAGATCCTCCACAGGGAAACATCCTACCTTAATTGGAAGAGCAGTCAACAAAACATGAGGCTTTTGAGGAGGAACAAAGGTAAAAAAGTAAAAAGTGGTCAATTTGAAAAAGCACCTTGAGGACAAAACAAGCTGGAAACAAGACGAGTACCACGGGGAACACAAAGTTTGCCAGAGAGAGGAGTGTCAGAGTGCAGTGTGCCACCCTGGCTGTGCAACACAGTGTGAGGGGCAGGGAGCACTGAGTCTCACATGGCAATCCTCTGCCAGTCTTTAGGGGCTAATTACACCACTGCTTGGCATTCTCACCCAATTATCAGGAGATGACATTGTGGCGATGAGGCTTAAATGCATCGTTTGTTTAACTGTGTACAAAACTCAAGCCCAAAAGATGCACAGGACAGATAATTTGGTTAATATTCTGGACATGAAAGTGTCAGGCATAACCTGACATCTGAGGGGACCCTAGAGATCATCTAAAAAATTTCATGCCATAAATCTCACTGATATAGTGAGATAAATAGCATCTATTTAATATTGAATTTAATATTAAATTTAATACTAAATTGAATATAAAAATTTATTTAAGCTTGTCTAACCAGTAATACCAGGGACTTTTGGTATTACTGACTCATTATTAAGATGCAGTTTTTCATTTTCCCACAGCTTTATTTTTATTTATCATCAGTTCTGTTTTGAATGCTCTTTAAGGTCAAACTGACTATGACTCTGCCATTACAAACAATTGTTGCATCACCTAAGTATGGAAGCAGTCAATTTATTTATATCATTAGATATTTATGTGATTTCAAGATCAAATATCATCATCGAATGGCTTAGGTTGGAGGGGACCCTAGAGATCATCTAAAAATAGTTATCCTTTATCTTTGGCCTGGGCAGGCTACTGTTCAAGATGTAATGCTGCAAGTTTTTCTAGGTCACAGTCCCAGAGCAGGTTTTGCCATCACACACAGATGTTGTGGTTTAAGCCCAGCTGGCAACAGAGCACCAGGCTGCTCGCTCATGGTTCCTCTGCCCTGCTGGGATGGGGATGGGCACCAGGAGGAGAGGTAAAACCTCCTGGCTTGAGATAAGGGCAGTTTAATAGGAAACACCAGGAGAGAAGAGCCTCATAAAAGCACCCAGAAAGCAAGTGATGCCCAGTGCAGTTGCTCACCACTCGGAACCCCACGCTCAGCCCACTCCTGAGCTGTGATCCCTCCTCCCACCCAGGCAGCTCCCTCAGCTGTTCACTGAGCATGAACTCATACAGGATCAAATATCCCCTTGGCCAGCTCGCCAGCTGTCCTGCCTGTGCTCTCCCCCAGCTTCTTGTGAAAATTAACTCTATCCCAGCTGAAGTCAGACAACATATAAATGATGAAGCACGTTCTAAAAGACCTTCTCAAAGTGTGGGGGAAATAAAAAGAATTATAAACTTCAGTGTAACTGAAGTGTAACCTCATTTTTGTGAAATTCTTTAGGCAACAATTCATGGATATGACAGTCTATCACATAAAAAAGCAAAATTATTTTCAGACTTTACATGACTTTTAAAAGGCCAATGGGTGAAAACTGTTTCACTGAGATTTGAACTGATGAAGGTGCTCTGAGCATAAATAGCAATAGTCAAAGCTCCTGCAGTGTTTTACATCTGTTGATGTCAAGGTACTTCC